CCACCAGCCACTGCAGCAAGGATCCAAGATATCTTCTCCGGAGAGGCAAAAGCTGACAGTTTCTGGCTTCAACCTAGATGTATGAAGAAGGACTCAGGGGTTTCCGTTCTCTGTATTTGCAGACTCGAGGGGGGGGGGGGAGAGCTTAAATCATCCATGTTCTGCTTTGCTCAAAGGCCAGACTGGGAAGAGGAGGTAGGGGGAGAGCCATCAGTGTTGGACGTATAGCAGCCTGATTGAAACTCAGGGCCTTTATCTCTTCCCCTTCATCACCCAGATGTGGCCAAGAGAGTGAGTGTTTTCCAGGACAGAAAAATTGCACCGTTTGGGTTGATTTATTATTATTTTTTGGGTGGCCAATTCATGTCTGCCAACATGGAACCATTCCTCATCCGATTACAATAGAGCAGGGGTAGTCAACCTTGGCTCTTTTATGACTCGTGGACTTCAACTCCCAGAATTCCTGAGCCAGCTAAGCTGGCTCAGGAATTCTGGGAATTGAAGTCCACGAGTCATAAAAGAGCCAAGGTTGACTACCCCTGCAATAGAGCAACAAAAGGAGTTTGGTCCATCCCCTCGTCGTAATGCCAGGCGTCGCTCTTGAGTTTAAATGCCTATAAACTTGACGTCACATGATCTCAGCTAGCGTACAGTCTTGAGGTACGTACCACAGGAGAGGTCAGGCATCTTTTCCCAGGATGCCCTGGGTCCATTCCTGTCCGTCCAAAGATAGATGGGTACAATTTTTAGTCGTTTTCTCCACGAAACTCTGCTTTGAAATAATAGCATGGGGTGATGGCGGTGATGACGTATACTCTTTCAGGATTCAGTCATTTTGGGAAACAAAACCCCAGCCTTTTTTTTTTTTTTTTTAACAAACAGACCAGTAGCTCAACCATTCACCAAGGAGATTGACATGCATTGAAACAGGTATAAAGGTAGACGTCCTCAATCCAGACCTGTGCATTTGTTCTGTTTTTCTGCTACCTCTTTAAGAATAATTACAAAGGTGTCTCCAACATTTGCCACTGCGGTGTAATATTTAAGGGAGTCAAAATTAAATCTAGGAAACTAATTATATTAATTGCATAATTATTTGTCTTGCGGCGTGCCACCCTTCTTGCAGTTCACTCAAGGCTTGGATATACTTTTTCTATATATTTATGGCAATATTTTTAGTTTCGCATCCTCTACCGCAGTGGTTCTCAACCTTTTTAATGGTCGAGGACTAAACTGGTCGTAAGTCGAGGATTAAACCGGTCGTAAGTCGAGGACTACCCAACCAGTCATAGGTCGAGGACTTTCCCTGCCCGGGAGTGCCGCGCATGCGTGGTTCCGCCCCCTGCGCCGGCCGAGGCATAGCTGGCAAGCGGCAGAGACGGAGCAGGCCGACCACCAGCTGGCCCAGCCCAAGGGAGGTAAGGCACCCGCCGGAAAAGGGGAAAAAAATGGCGGACAGCCTTGCTTGGCGACCCCCGTGAAATGGTCGATCGACCCCAAATGGGGTCGCGACCCATAGGTTGAGAACCGCTGCTCTACCATTGCATCGCTCAGCAAAAAGCTTGATCCTCAGCAGTGCAAATGGATATTGATTCGAAACAGCCTGATGGCTCAAAGCACGTTAGCCATTACACACTTCCATTTTGAGCCTTGCTTCTTTTAGGGGGGTTTTGGATGGCTTCGCACCACTGCTGTTCCTAAGCTACTAAAAGTAAAGATTTCCCGGTCGGTTGTGTCTGATTCTAGGGTACGGTGCTTATCTCCGTTTCTTGGTTGAGGGAGGCAGAGTTGTCTATGGTCATGTGGCACTGAACGCTGTTATCTTCCCATTAATCTACTTGTATTTGCATGCTTTTGAACTGCTCGACCTGGGGCGCTGTTGCACGGGGCTCAGGTCTGGAACCTGAATTGTCAGCTCTCCAGCTGACGAGCTCAGCGTCTTTAACCATTTTCCACTCCTGGTTAAAGATAAATAGGGTAAGAACTTTCCTAAAAGGAAGCAATTTTTTAAAAAAAGTCTACTTAGTTCCCACCGATACTCGTACCACAATACATTTGGTTGATTGTGGTGGAATGTTTTATAGCTCAGAACTAATTTGTTACCTCTTGGGTCTCTCAACTAGTTCTCAGCTTGCAGTTTTGTCCATTTATCCTACTGTAACATGCTCCCATTTTTCAAAGGTATTTCCTTAGCTGGAAAAAGACCCAAAGTTCAGTTTATCCATGTCCTTACCCGCGTACTTTGTTTTTAATCTTGGGGTCATTGGATGCAGATGTTTTCATGGGATATTGCCATTCTAAGATCAGAAATTATGATTCTTGGTTTTTTTTATACTATTTATACCATACAGCAGAACGCTAGTAGACACAGTCTAGGGTGAAATGTTTTTCTACCATAGATAGATATAACAATTGCAAAACTTTACAGAATAGCCACATTGTGCAGCACAACAGCACTCGGGTATTTTTTAAGGTAAATGTGGTTGCATCGTGAGATTAATCCTACACATCCTTAAATCTCATTTGAACACCCGATGAACAGCCAGTCTATGGATGATGATCTTACTGCCTTAACAAGATGAAACCACTTGAGATCACTAAGATTACTGTATAAGTCGTCAATCCTAATGATTTAGCAACTGTGCTAATTAGAATGACAGATAAAGAGGCCTAACAGTCTGTTGAGGTTCTCCTTTGCAAAGATCAATAAATTCACCAAAGGCAGACAGCTACTGGAAAAAAGTTAAATAACTTTTTTTTTTTTTAAAAAAAAAAGGTAATATTTTACAAAGTGCATTAACTTCCAACTGCTTGACTTTTCCTATTGATGCTCCAATTGAGAATTTGGTCACGTCAAACGGCATTCTGTTCAGCCACAAGTATATAGCGCAAGGGGCTGGAAAATTCAATGATGCAATGACAGCGCAAACACAACGAGGAGAACAACTAAGTCTCTGGCACAGAATAAGAATACACAAAAGTGAATAGAGTGTGGTGTGATCACATCTCACTTGTAAACCTGCTGCTTGCTGCTTCCTTGGTCAAGGCTTTCTTGAAAAGAGGAAGACAGTTGTGGAGACTACAACGTTTTGTAAATGTATGTGCGGTATGTGAAAAGCAACTGACCACAAGTCGTGCAACAATTGCAGGGCCCAACATACATAACACCATGAAATCACAGGTGTGTTCCACAACTAACCAGCCAAGATTGTGTTGAGCCATGCATTCAATTTACATTCTGGAAGACTAAACCAGCAATGTGAATTGACTGTCCAAGTGGTCAGCCAATCACCCTGGTAAAATTGCTGGTATAGAGCTGCCCTCATCTGGTGTCTGAATAAACAATCTACTGTTCAATTACTATGTGGCCAGTGGTTTCTAGGATATGACCTCATTCTTCAGATGCTTTCAAGGACCTAGTTGCATGCATTGAAACAACAGCATATCAAGCTGCTGCTGCTGTTTGTATGAAGTTTGGCACCTCCCACATCAGAATGTAAACACAGCTTCTACAACAGTGTTTACATTATAACAACACATGGAGAGAAATGATTCATCCGTATCCTCATTGTGAACAAGATCAAATTTACAAGCTTTGCCACTTCCTTCCCAGGTAAGTAATTATATACTTTCCCTGCTTTAGAAAAGCAGAACGATAGATCGCTGTTGCTGGCATGATCATCGTGACCGCCATAATCATTTCAGAGAAGAATGGACTTGGCTTGCCCATCTTCTCTGCTCTGGCCTTGAGCCCTTTCTTGGGTCAATCAGCAGCAGGAATAAGATCACACAAAACAAAAATGAAATCCCCACAAACAATCTTAACATCTAACACTCAGTGTGGCCTCAGAAGAAGTGCTTCTAAAAATCAAAAATCCTTCACTGCCCATCACTCATCTTGAGGTTTTTCTAATGGAGACAAGATGTGAAATTCTAGCACCAATTTCAAGTCTTGACTAGTGCATAAACTGAAGGTGACACAACTGGTGTTGTACCAGATCTAAAGACACATGGGCTGTAGACAGAAAATGCAGATCGGTTAATTCACAAGGGCCTGTATATACCAGGAATCGGACAGGATCTCGATGCGCACTACCATCCCTGAATAGGATACTGAGTTTTCCAGAGTTCCAGACTGCGAGGAAGAAGCATGTTGGGCACATCGGACAAAAGAAGAGGAAGGTGACACAGGGCATCTGTAAAACATAATGAAACAACATAGCGCGTCAGCCATATTAGGTTAGCTTTTCATTGAAGGCAACAGATCTTGGAGATGATCTGATTCAAGGAAAACATTATAGAAGGGATAAAAGATACCCAGGAGGATAATTTCTAAATCATCTGGTGTTTTTTTTGTCTTTTTCTCAAAAGGTAGCCAGTGTTGTGATTCCTCGCCAGCCTGTGGATCCGGCAGCTGAGTCTGAGGACTCAGAGAAGGAGGAGGAGGGGCCTGGAGTGACATCAGAGTCAGAGGAAGGCTCTGAGGAGCTCCAAGACTTACAGTCGGACAAGGAGCCTGGCCCCTCCACTCGCGCTCAGGCTGAGACACAGCTGTGCTGGGAGCCTGAGTTGGACAGTGATGAACAGTTGGGACAAATCCCGGATGCACGAAGGCGCAGGCAAGAGAACCGAGTAGGACAGAGGAATGCAATGGGGTGGCTCCAAAGGCAAAGGAGAAGGTATTAGAAAGCCACGCCTTGGCTGAATTATAAAAAGGAAGGTATGGGAGGTGCTGGTTGCCAAAGGCAACCGTTCGTGTTGAGGATCTGTGAACTGTGTTTGTTTGCCTTGGACATTGACTCAGGTCTGTGAGAATAAAAGGGGTTGGTTTTTTTCTTGCGGTTCCTGCCTGTTTCTTGGAAGAGGGGTTTCTCCTGGTGAACGTAACAAGGACTCGCGTAGGCTGGGACAGAACAGCCAGAGTCAACTGGGCTCAAATCAGAAAAACAAATAGACTCACGTATTTGGTATCCAGAGTTGTGCAGCTGGTCAGCTTGACTCTACAAGAGGGGCTGATCCATGCTGATGCCCTTGGTTTGATAAATCTCTTTCAACAACAATAATATTGTGTCCTCTGACTCCCTAGAAGGAGGGATAGAAAAAAAGGAAAAAGAGAAAGAAAGAATAGCTATTCGTGATCGATTACACACTGGCAACAATACAATACAAAGGAGGAAGATACATAGTCACAAGCCTCTTGGAAGAAGAACAGGAATGATGGAGAAGATGAAAGGCAATACCGTCTTCTTCAACTGCCACCTTGCGTGACAAGTCAGGTGAAAGGACAACCTAGCTGGAAGGGTTCAGTTGGCTGATCTAGATGGCTAGGCTGATGTCCTCTCCTTCCTTCCTGGCTCTGTGTGTGTCCTTCCCAAAGCTGCACACTTAATGGAAGACAGTGACCTTCCCAGATGTTCCTTGGTGTTTGATGACAGCCCCCATCCAGAAAAAACTATTGGGCACCAGATCAGGATTAGCCCCCTAGGCAGAACTTACCAGTAGCATAAATGGCCTTGCAGTGCAAATAAATACTCGTTAAAGCTTTCGATGGGTTTCTCCTGAAGCACGTAGTCAATGCGATGGCCCCCATTCAGCAGCCCCACATTAACTGGAGGTGGATCCTCTTTTGCTGATGTGGTTGGTTCCTCTGGTTTCTCCTCTGTATTTATATGGAAGAAAGCTGAATCAACACACTTGCAACCAGTGAACAGGCCACTTAAGCTAAGTTCATCCTTAATTTTCCTGCCTAAGGCAACGTGGCAGCTCAGTCTTACAGGGGTCTCCAATCTTGGCAACGTTTAAGACTTGTGGACTCTCAGAATTCCTCAGCCAGCCATGGGAGTTGAACTCCTCAGCCAGAATCCTAGGAGCTGAAGTCCACAAGTCTTAAAAGTTGCCAATATTCTAGAAAGCCCTTCCTTCAGACAACACTAAAAAGAAGTGGCAACTCTTAGCCACAAGTACCTAGATGGCAATTTCAGCTGAAGAGTTACAGTGCTCCGTGCCCAGATCTGGAAATTGCCCAACGCAATCCTCGGGCCATTAGTTCTCTCTTCACTCAATAGAGCAGAAGGAGCCCCACCTGATGCCAAGGAGACCCTTAGGAAACTCATAAACTCTCAAATGTAACCCACTGAATCAACAAATTCATTTTGCACTATTTACCCCAAACCTTTATTGCAACAGGAGTTTTGTAACTGGGAAGCCGAAGCCAAGAACAGCCGCAAAGCAACACAAAATATTTTCCTTTGCATGCACCAAAGGTAACCAAACTCTCTTGAGTGTGCAAATCACAATTTAAACCAACCAGGTTGCTTCTCCATGCTGGTTTCAGCTTCCGATTCCTGTTCCACGTCTCCGGTGGCTCCTGCCTCCACAGCTGGCAATGAAGTTCTGGTGAAGGACTGCCAAGCGGTCCTCAAGGAGCCCAACAAGTTATTTTTCAGGTCCATGCTCATCCGAGTGAGGCCTTCCTTCAATTCTGGAAAAATAAAGGGAAAAAATTCAAAACTAGAAAAAAAAAAACCCCACGATCACGTGGATGTGCAACTTAAATGCAGGTTTTAGACTGATGTCTCTGGAGGTTCTCATTCATCCAGGTAATGGTTGTCCCAAAGGTGCTTTTATTTTAAAGGCAACTAGACTGATTTGCTTCTCATCCAAGACGCTTCTTCAATTCTAACTAACTGGTGGGGAATGGAAAGGATTCATACTCTCTGCAATCAGACGGTTGGGCCAGGTTCTAGATTTGTTTGCTACTGAAAAAGCCTGTCATGCTAAATCAGTGCTGCTCAACCCTGGCAACTTTAAAGATGTGTGGACTTCAACTCCCAGAATTCCCCAGCCAGTATGCATATCTTTGCAAGCGTCCCTTCATAAATTATAGGGAAAATTCTGAGAAAGTGACT